ACAGTTCTCTGTAGTGGGCAACACACCAGTCATTGTTTTATGCACATTTATAAACTTTGCTTCCGCAGCAAAATAATAGGCTTCTTGACTTTGTACTTCACCTGCCTTTGTACTTCACCTGCCTTCCCTGGTTAATGTTTCTATGACACAGGAAGTGGAACATTACAAAACATGGATTTTAGGGTCAAGGAAATTCTAGAAATGCTGAATAGTTTGTTCCTCTCTCAGAGATCTGCACTGCGTGTTGGCCTAAAGTCACTGAAATCTATTTGTGTCTTGTCCACTTTCTATTTCCTATCCATGCTTGACCTCGGAACGCTCCTTTCCCAAGAACATCCTGCCCAACTGCTGTTCCACTGTGTGCACTCTAGAAACTAGAGCTGGGCTGATCGTAAATGGGCTGACTTACTCATCCCCATTCATAGGCCATGATGCATGTGCATTATCCACGGGTAGTCCTGACTCCAGTTCTTCGTGAATATTCCCATACTGACTGTTAGGTCAGAAGAACGCCCCTCTCATTTGGGGACGTTGATTTTTAAAAAACAGCCAAAGTTTGCAGAGTGTGGTCTGGGATAGGAGTGGGGTTTTCAGGGTGAGTAAAGGAGAAGTTCATTGCATGCTTTTTTCTTAACTGAGCACCCACATTTTTCTTTCTCCATTTGCAGGCAAGGTCAGAACAGTGATTGTGATATATGTGACAGAATTTGCCCGCTTTGAGCCTATTTTAGTTACAGAGGTAGAATCTTCCTTTGAGGTTCTAAAGAGGTGGATGCCTGAGAGAGGCTCACTGCAGTCTTGGGCAGTCCACTTTTGTTTTTTTTAAAATTAGTATCTTTGAAGACACGCTCATAGTTTGCAAAGCATCTTCAGAATCTTACTAGATCCTGTCAAATCACAAAAGTAAAAACGAGTCTTTGAAAAAGTATAATTAGTTAAAGCTTGTTGAGGGTACTTAAACAGTTCTTGAACCCAGAGTGTTTAAACCAGGTGTTACTGGGCAGGGATAAGGGGTACCTCAAAACTCCCTATTTGCCTGCTCTAAATAGCTTTGCCACTTGCATCAAGACAAAACATTATTCTGGTATGTTAAGATTTTTAATAGAAAGGAACTTTAATACAGTAATGTGCAATAAAGAGAAGAGAAAGGATAAAGTTTTTAAATCAAACACCCAAAGTTAGCCCAGTTATCGTGAGTAAATGCCCAGCCAAACCGAGTTGGCCCAAAGCAAGGTCATTGAGGCCGGAAAATTTGACGCAGGTCTGAGGTACCTTCTGGTGGGGACCTCTAGGGAAGGGGCAGAAGGGACCCAGGAAACCTGGAATGAAAGGAGCAAAATCAAAATCAGAATAAAGGCTGCCATTGTTAATTTCCCCACGGTTCTTTCACTCATGTCTCTTTGAAGTGTTTACTTTCATGTTCCCTAATAAAGTCCAAGGCCAAGAAGGCAGCACAACTTCTTCATGTGCCTGCTCCAGGTCTTCTTCTGGCTCCCATCTGTCTCCCTTCTCCCATCTCCTCTCCACTGTCTCCTCCTTCCCGCTAGGACCACCCTTCCTTGGGTGGGACAGGGAACCTGGAGCCTCCTCTTTACACAAACATGGAATGAGGCTTGGACATACATTGTTATCAAGTAATTTATATAGTGAGGAGCCAGAAACTGTATGTCTTTGAGACTCATAGAATAATTGATAGGGAATTGGTTAGTGGTTAGCACCTATTGACTATAAGGAAGTTACAAGTTTTACTTATGATTTTCAGAGGCATAAGCAAGAAGCCAGGCTGTCAACTTAGCCTCATTTTTTCTTGCAAAATAAGCGAAATTAACAGTTTGTAAATTGTGTCCAAGGAATTTTAAGTCTGATCACCATTTGTGTTTAACAGTCCTCACGGTCACTTTGCAAAAATATGGTATAGTTGTAAGTATTAATCCCATTTTATAGCTGAATAAACCAGGACTTGTCACATGTTCAAAGTGCACTCTCACTATCCCTTGATCCTAGAAATTAAACCTGGCTTACAACTATGTTCTTGCTGCCTCAAGAAAGTAAGGTGCAGATGCCAGTTTGTGTTGATACCCACCTCATGGCACTGTCTGACTGAGGAAAGATGTGATGTTAATGGAGATGTCAGTGCCATGACATCGGCTGTGTTTGGAGTGACCGGGTTACCAGAGGGATGTGGATGGGTCTGAGGTCCATCCAAACGTGCTGTTTTTATTGGCTTATTTTCAGCACTGCCAAGTGGGTTTTGATTTTATCTTCAGCTTTAGTTTTTCCCTCCTTTTCTGTTAAGTAAAGACATGCCGCCTCAGACCTTGGGTTCCTACACCCTTCTTAGCCCCTCTGTTGGCATAAATTGGTCCTCTTTCACGACCAGGCAAGGTTCCCACCCAGCAAGTGGGCAGAGAAGCCAGGAAGACACAGGACAGCAGTTGTTCTGTTCCCTGACCCCTGCAGGAAAAAAGACACGTGTGTCTCTCTTTGAAGGACTTTGACCAGGAGATCTCTATGATTTGGTAGGCTTTCCAGGGAAGTGAACCAGTCTGAGATAACAAGTAAACAAAAGAACTTGGAGGCAAGTGTATCATCACTGTTTGCTTCTGCCCCCTAGAGGAGAGAATGCCCCATGACTAGAGACATGTTAATCAGAGTTTGAAATAAAACAGTATTGATGGGACTGGGGTCTTTAGTCAGGTTCTCTTACTGAAAAGACCTGTGTTTCAACTGAAGGCTCATACCGGGCGCAGAAGCTTTGTCTATACCCTCAGAGGCAATGGCTGTGAGCAGTGCTGTTGGGTCTTTTCTACCACTTTGATCTGATAAGACAGGTGAGTTACAATATTTAGTAGGTTAGCGGCAACCTGTGCCTCATTTCCCCGATAATGGTAACTTATCGGGGTTTAAGGAGATGGACGCCTTCTTTATATCTCTAAGTCTATATGTGATTCATAATTAATTTTTTTTTAAGATTTATTTATTTGTGCATACAGAACTGGGCCAGAGGCTGAGGGCGGTGAGAGGCTTCACCAGAGACAGAGTGGGGAACAGAACAGGCAGATCGACGAAGTACACTGCTGAGGGGAGCAGCGGGCGGGTCAGGAGAGGTCTGCTGCGCCATTGGTCACCTCCAGGGCAGGCGGGAATCGAACTCATGCGGAAGCGGCTTTGGAGTCTCAATGCTGTACTTTAACCCGCTGCGCCACCAGGGAGGGCCATAATTAAATTTGTTTAACACTTACCTGTGGGGCAAGCAGAGGGAAGAAACAAGGGAGAGTATCCCAAGAAGTTGTATCAGATGTCAGCAGGGGCTGACAAGAGGATCTTCTCAGGTGGCCTGGAAGTTGGAGTGAGACCACACGGCTTCATGTTGGCCTCTTCCTGGGACTACACATCGCATTCATTAGAGACACTTTTACCAAATGCAGTAGCAAGTGCAGTCCACATTGAAGAGCAGGGGAATCATATTCTTACTTTAAGGGAAGAGGTGTGACAAGATAGGGGTCATGCTTGAAACAGCCATATCTGGTATGATGTGGGGTCAAAATTAAACTCAGTCTCCTGAGGGGGCCCTTCTACAAGACCCCAGTGAATGTGTACAAATAACAGCTCACGGGCTGAGTGAAGTAACCTCAATCTGGTTTTACTGTCTAGTGACTGGTTAGTCCAGCCTTTTGTTGACCCAAGGCTGTGCTGCTTTTCCCAATTCATATTTTTCCTATTTCCTGCTTACCTTCACTTTTGTCATCTATCAGCAGTTGACCAAGTTTGCAGGGCAAGGGGTTGGAACTATTGGCTGAAGCTGTGGGTCTTTGAATTATCTGTGACTGGCTAGACTTCATATTGATCCCACTTAGAGTAGAGAATTGAGACCTCCTGGTCAATGATTATGTGGTAGCCCAGGTATTTATGTTCCCTCAGTCCTTTTCTATGATGCCTAAATAATATGACATGGGCTCCCTTCTTCCTTGGCGGAAGTTGTTCTAATTACTATGTATTGCTTGGTTTGGGATCTGGAAGACCCACCCAGGGGATGAAGACAGGGAGCTAATAGTTTGGGTGACCATCTGAATTGGGTGATGCTCGGTTAGCCTCTGGGTTCAGGACAGAGCCATTTTTCTGCATGGGAAATGTACTAATAACGGGCTATCCCTCTGACAAGGAATAGAAACTTAATAGGTAGTTTAAAAAGAAATAGAATTTTTGAATGCGGAAGAGAAAGATGTAGCCATTCGGGAGGCTGTGTTTATTTCTCCAACAAAGGCAAGCTGAACAGATGGAAAACGGGGGTGGATAGGATATCTAGGGCTCCAAGGCCAAGAAACTTCTAGAAATGGACAAAAAAGGATGTTTCAAAAAGGGACTGGGAACCAATTGCTTTTGAACACCAGGAACCTTACTTCTATTATTTATCCTCAGAGCATCCTTGTAGGGTGGATTATCGTCACTTCCATCTAAAATTGAGAGACCCACTTCTGCAAGGTCATGCAGGCATGGTGAGGTCAGTGATAGGAGCAGGCTTTCTGACATAATGTCTGTTTTCTCCACTGCCTTAGATGTTTCTGGAAGCAAAGTTAGTCCAGGATTCTTGGAAACGAGGAGAAAATTTGGGATGGGGAGTACCATAGCGAATCTGCCAGGGGTTCTCATGCTTGGGGTGAGGTTACAAGAGAAAGTCATGAGAGGAACTGGGGAATCCGGAAATGCTCACAATTTAGGTGGGTCTAGAAGGGGCGACAGTCTGCCTGCAGCCAAAAGTGGTCACCTCAGGCAGGGAAGAGAGTGTGGCAGGGACAGACCTTTCCCGGAACCTGGGATGTGGAAGTTATGTTTTTGATGTTTCAGGTTGATCCTATCCCTCCTGTCCAGTTCTCATCTACAAAGCCTCAAAGGATGGCACAAAAGCAGAAACAGACCCAATCCATTAGCTTGTCTTTGGGTGCTCCCCGCCGCTTCTTGGGCGTTCCTCATCCATTGTTTCCATGTTTGTTTTTTTCCAGAGGGTCTTCAGAAAACCTTCACCTCCCTGGGCTATCAAGTCGAGTATTTCCCCTATCTCAGTGTGAGTGGCATAAACCAAATCCTCCACCGGTTTGCTGGTATGCCTCAACACCGGGACTATGACAGCTTCGTGTGCGTCCTGGTGAGCCGAGGGTGCTCCCAGAGCGTGTTTGGAGTGGACGACACTCACTCGGGGTTCTCTTTGGAGAAGATCAGGAGGATGTTCATGGGAGACGCATGCCCTTCCCTCTTAGGGAAGCCAAAACTCTTTTTTATTCAGAACTACGTGGTTTCAGAGAGCCAGCAGGAGGCCAGCAGCCTCCTGGAGGTGGACAGCCCGGCGGTGATCAGTGCACAAGCCGTGGACAGGCAGCAGGCACCATGCACAGTCCATCGGGAAGCTGACTTCTTCTGGAGCCTGTGTCGAGCAGACGTGTTCCTGCTGGAGCAGGCCACCACCAAGCCGTCCGTGTACCTGCAGTACCTCTCCCAGAAGCTGGGGCAGGAAAGGTGAGCCACCGGGCGGGGGACCCCTGGCTTCCAGGTTTCCTTTGCTGCTTCCCAGACTGTGTTTCATCACGGGGCCATTCTTCAGGGACGAAAGGGGACCTTCCTTTCCTGTGGGCTCTAGACCTGCAAGTTGATCGCTTTTTCCACGGGAAGTCTCTTATTAGCTGGTAGTTCAGATTTTTTTTTATTATGAAATTATGAAATGTTTGTGGTGATTTCCCCCCTTTATTACAAAACAATCCATAGCCCTTGTTGGCAAAAGCCATGAAATACAGAAGCTGAAAGCAGAACATAACAAACAGTTAGACTGTTACTTAATAGAATCCACCTCTGTTAGGGCCCTCCCTGATGGCGCAGCGGGTTGGGGCGTGGCACTGCGAAACTAAGCCAAGCTGTTGCTGCCTCAGCGCGAGTTTGATCCCAACCCTGGAGGTGACCCACATGGCGTGGCAGACCTCTCCTGACCCGCCCGCTGCTCCCCTCAGCAGTGTACTTTGTCGATCTGCCCGTTCTGCTCCCCACTCTGTCTCTGGTGAATCTTGTCACTACCCCTGCACCTCTGGCCTGTACTCCAGTTCTGTATGCATAGTGGTGTATTGCTTTCCAAACTTTCTTGGATACAGAGCTACATACATACATACATACATTTATAAAATACATACACATGAACATGTAATATTAACAATGTACAAAAGTAAGTGTATTACATAACCATTTGTAAATGTGTTTCATGACAAAATGGGGTCATCCATTATTACTACCTGCTTTAGTCATTGGACAGTCTATTAGTTTCATGAATGAAAGGCACTCACCATTTTTTTAGCTTAGTATTTGTGGCTGTTTTTTTGAGAACAATACTCAAGAGATGGAATCACTATGCCAAGTGATAAGCATTTTTAAATCCTGATTCATCTTCTCAGATTGTTCTCTAGGACAATCAAGTCTTAACAGATTAATAAGTGAAACACATTAACTGACTGTTGAGGTCTGTAAATCTTCGTTTTGTAGGCATTTTGCATGTTTATTGGCAAGGATATTTTCTTTCTTAAAGGTTTATTTATGTATCCCTACAGAACTTGAGTACAGGCCAGAAGTACATGGGCAGTGAGAGGATTCACCAGAGACAGAGTGGGGAGCAGAACAGGCAGACTGACAAAGTACACTGTTGAGGGGAGCAGTGGGCTGGTCAGGAGAATTCTGCTGCACCATGTGGGTCACCTGGCTGGCCAGCATCGGATTGGTGCTTCAGTGGCTGCAATAGCTTCGTAGTGCTGTGCTTTAAGCTGTTGGACCACCAGAGAGGGCCCGGCAAGGATATTTTTCAAAGGCAGACAGTTGTGACTGGTTTCACTTATGCTGAATGAAGCCACAGTGTACCTCCAGTGAAGATTAGCAGTCCTTTCTCACTTGCCCCTCAATTACAATTGAGAATGAGACTTCTCAGCCACCTGGCGAATGTACTCTATTATTGCTCTGGGGACCCTGGGCATTCGTCTCATGGTCTCAGCCTCTCAGTGGTTTCTGAGGAGTAAGGAAGGGCTGGAGAAGCGGCAATTCAGCCTTTTAAGGGAGATGCTCTGTGGGCGAGTGGGATTATCAACATTTTACATTCACCCTACATCTACTGAGGTGATGCAGGTTTGTCATTGACTGGTGTGTCTCCAGAGTAAAGCCAATTATCAGTTAGGAGAGGAGACTGATCACTGGACCACAGTGATCCAGTTTGAATCACTCACTAAGCAGCTTGTAGAATATTTAGAAAGGAACAGTGTCAAAACTCTTTCATATCTGTTGACACATGTCACCTTAGTGACAGTCTGTCTTCTCTTTGATATTTGCAGGCATTAATTTTTTTTTTCCCTTCTTTACTCCAGAAAACGTCCTCTTCTGGACCTCCACCTTGAACTCAATGACTGCGTGTACAATTGGAACAGCAGAGTGTCTGCTAAGGAGAGGTACTGCGTCTGGCTGCAACACACGCTGAGAAAGAAACTCATCCTTTCTTCTAAATGAAGCGCCGGAAGCTCTGTCAAATGCTGCTTTGCCTTCCGCCTCCATCACTTGCCACAGTAGCCTGCTAGCCAGTGTGCCTAAGTGATGAGTGAGGTGAGGTCATGGCCCAAGCTGAAAGATCCCCGGGAAGAATGCTTGACAGGAAGGAAGGGTGTCTAAGCTTCGAAGATGAGGCATTGAGCTCTACTGTTCAAACAATATTTGCATGAAACTGCACAGTTGGCCATTGTGAGGAAGAAAAAAGCTTGGAAGCTTTAACAACTTAGCACCATTTGAATTGGGCATGTCAGGACCATGTTGCCTTCCGTTCTAATAGTCAAGCAAACAGCCACATAGATGCTCATTCAGAGTTCCTGCAGCCACAAAGCAACCTGTGGGTCCCATCTTCCATTCAGAAAAGAAAAACCAAAATACAAGGCAATGAAACTTGAATATAACAAAACCTTATCATCTTACCCATGAGAAGAAGCCACAGTTACCCAAAACCTTGGTGTCTTGCCTTGCTGAGGGTTTTCACATTTGTATTGGGTGCCACAGGAGAGTGGCCCTCCTCCCTGTTAGTGGGGGTGCTTACTGTTTCTTCGGTCATGCCAAGCTTGGGCCCTGGGCCCAGACAGTGTTTGCACATTGGACATGTCCCTGGCATTTCTGTGGGACACAGGGTGTGATTTGGTTGTTTCTGATGTTGTACTCTGTGTAGGGGCTGAGAGGAGGCAGAAGTACAGGCATTGAGCCCCCTCTGTGGTGAAGGATGCAGCCAACACCAGCTCATTGCTCCAGTCATTCTCGAGGAAGTCAGTGAGTCTGGTTGCCATCTTGGTCTCAGCAACCTGCAATTTTTCTTTCCAGGATCTGGATATTAGACAGCATGATTGCTGTAGTTTGTGCTGCTACTAACAAACTGCCATTGAGTAGATGGCTGAACAAACATTTATTTCTCATAGTTCTAGAGACTGAAGTCCAAGATCAAGTTGTTGGCAAATGGTGTCTGAAAGCCTTGCTTCTAGGTGATGTAGGGCTGGTCTTTTGGTTCTGTCCTTGCAGAGAGCAGATGGAGGAGGCACGTTTTCTCCTGTCTCTTTCTCCAAGGCCACTGATCCCACTCATGAGGGCTTTACTCTCATGACCTAATTACCTCCCCAGAAGCCCCACTTTCTTGGTGATCAGGATTTCAACCTTTGAATTTAGGACAGACCTAAAGCATTTGGTCCATAATGCTGGCAAAGGCCCTCTCTCAGAATGGCATGAAGACTAACCCCTGGCATGAGTAGCTTCCCTATTCTTCTTGAGACTCCTGGCATTTTATTGCTAGTCAAGTACACCACGTATACACCTTTCTTTCTCGGATGGGATGACAGGTCCTAAAAGGAGAACATTATTTTAAAATCTCACCTGAAGCCTTTTAAAAAATAATTTATCCTGGCCCTCCCTGGTGGCGCAGCGGGTTAAAGCACAGCACTGAGAATCTAAAGCTGCTTTCGCATGAGTTCAACTCCCGCCTGCCCTGGAGGTGACCACATGG